GGGATATTTATCTTACAAAAATAAACACATTCAGAGGAAAATTGATTTATTATTTAGAGAATATGGCCATAACTGGAAAATAATGAAATAAAGTCCCTCAAAGGGATCAAGAGAATCGCTCTCTTAACGTCAAGAAATTTTGTAAAGATAAAAATTCAAAGATTGAAGCTGAGAGGACGAAGCCTCTCCATTCTCAACACTAAGAATTCAAAATTAAAAGTAAAGTGAATCCCTATGGACAGTTAGGTGTATGGGAAGAGATCCATGGGTGGCAATTTATCGTGAGATAAAAAAGCCAAAAATAAAGCCAACCCCCCTTAATCAATATTAAATTTGAAAATAATTTGGCGAAAGTGAATCGCCAAAAAGACTATGCGAATTTGTAAAACCACGTAATTGAAACATTTTTGCGGTCAGAAATAAAGAATAAAAAGTTACAAATAGATTTTGTTTTCGATTTAGTCGCGACAGTGAATTTAGGAGTTTTACATTTGTATTGAAATAAAAAAGTTAGCTGCTACATTGATTGTTAAGAAAATAATAAAATATTTATATTAGCTTTTTATGAAATGTAATAAAAATTAAATAATAGGTTTAATTTAATTACAATTCGATTAAGAATGACTAAAAAAATAAGTTTAAGAAATTAAAGGAGTTTTAAAATCTAGGAAATATGTAATATCTATTGTGGAATGCTGTTTCTCTCTCCTTTTTGTTGTGCACTTTTTGCTGTACAGAAAATCGAGAATAGTGTGGAAAACAGTTAGAAAAGCAAGTGATAAAAATAAAACAAATCTAATGTAAATTGGTTATATTTAAATTGCGTTCTTTATTATCTCAATTACTACAAAAAATTAAAAAATTTAAAAAATTTAATTTTAATATTGAATAAATCATTAAGATACATTTTCATTTTATGGAATTAAATAATGATATATAGTCATGAGTTAATTTAGTAAGAAAAAAATAATATTTAAAAGTTGAAATTTTTATTCAGTTCGAATGAAAATAGATTGCTACAACTATAGTGAGGTTATTATTACACAATTTCACAATATGAATTACGTATGGTAATTATGAAATTACAAATGACTAAAGTAAAACGACAGATGGACAGAGTAATAATTTTTATGAAATATATGGTACAAACCAACAAGTTCAATTAAGAGATTGATAAAATTAGCTCATTTCTTAAAAAAAGAGAATACTTTTAGAATTAAAAATTGATACTTGAAAAAGATTCATTATATTAAATTTATAAGAAAATTTCCTTGCATAAATCTTTGAAGATAAAAAATTAGCTACACAATTATTTATCTTCAATTATTTATCTCATATTATATAATAGTTAAATTTGAAATTTTTATTATAAAAATCAAATTGTCAAAAATATAATTGACGAAATGTATAAAGAGAAAAACTTAAAAAAAAATGGATGCTAGCGGAATTCGATAATATAATTATAGTTAGAATTTCTGTATTAAGAAGATAATGTATGAAATTATGAAAATAAAACTTTCTTTTATGTTTTACAGCTTTACAATAATACAGAATATTAAGTTAACTTATATATAACACGAATTATTCATCTACTGCCTAAATCTTCACTTTGTTTATTGCTTATTCAAAAAAAAAAAAAATATTGAAAAAATAGACAAAAGGATGCAAGGTAATAATAGAAAATATAAAATCCTAGATAGAATAATTTTGAAAATCTCATATTATAGTCAAATTTGAAATTTTCATTATAAAAATCAAATTGGCAAAATTATAATTGACAATAAAAAGTATAAAGCGATAAAAAAACAGAAAAATGGATGCTAGGAGAACTCGATAATATAATTATAGTTAGTGTTTCTGTATTAAGAAAATAATGCATGAAATGACATAGTAAAACTGTTTTTCTATGTTTTATCTCTTTACAATAATACAGAATATTAAGTTAACTTATGTCACCAAATTATTCATCTACTGCCTAAATCTTCACTTTGTTTATCGCTTATTCAAAAAAAAATATTGAAAAAATAAACAAACGATGCAAGATAATAACAGAAAATATAAAATCGTAGATAATATAATTTTGAATAGAATCTCATATTACATAACGCAGAGAAAACAGCGACCTTCTTTATCTTTCTAATAGTCGAAGGTTGTGCAAAATGACATTAGATTTTTTTATTTACTGATGTTATATATGTGTTATCTATTATGTGTTACTTGAGTGAGAAGCCTTTCGATTGCGGCATTTTCTGCTCGGAAGGAATTTTGTTTTAAACCTTTAATGGTTGCATAATTTTGACGAAAGTGGTCATAAAATGTTCATATTTTCTTCTCAAGAAAATTATATTACACTATGTTCTTTCATTTACTGTACTATCTCTCCTTATCGAGGGAACAAGGTTAGCTCACCCGATATGGTGTCTCTGGAAAAGTGGCCAACAAATCTGCCCTGTAATGACTGTAAGACGTAGGTCATTCCGCATACAGCATTGGAATATATATATATCCGTGGTCAAAAAACTGTGCAAAACGGGCAAATCATGCATCTTTTTTTTAAATAAATGCACACTTTTTAAAATCATTAAAATTGTATGACATTAAATATCCACCCTTTTAATTACAAACTTTAAATTATCCAGTGAAATATTATTACCTTGCTCACATCCATTTTCGGGCAATCTGAAGCAACTAACAAATCAAACACGCTTCAGTTCAGCAATAAGAATGCGCCGTAAGAGATCCCTCTATTTATACTTCTAACTTCTATTTACGCTCCTTTTTTCTTATTTTGTAATCTGGCAATCTTATTACGAAAATACTTGAAATCCTTCTTGAAAGATTCCGGTATGTGCAAGTCCATTTGAATTTGCTATTTTCTTCATAGATTTCGTTTTGTGTTTTGCTCTGTATTGTTTTTTTTTTTGTTTGATATGCTTTATTTCGTATATATTTTTTACTTAATGTGTTCCATTTTCATTTAAATTCTTTTGAGTGCTCCTCACACTATTGTATTGATATATTTTGGTTTGGCTATATTGATACAATATTAGAATGCACTCCTGTTTACGGATATAATCGTGTGAGCTGATGAAGAGATTATATCTTTTCATTACTTTGTTTTTCACCTTTATATATATATATTCTAAATAAAAGCATTTTGTAAAATATTTTTAAAAAGATTTTATTTTAATAATTTTTTCTTCTTCTCTTTTCATTAATCTTTATTATTTNAATATATATATAAGTTCAAAGGGTTGCTTAAGGGTTGCGACAACTGTTGCTAATATTATTGCTCAACTGAGTTAAGGCACATCATCAGGATTGAAGATGCATAAGCACCCATGCCCCGAAATGTTATCGTACGCCGCTGAGGAAGCTTCTCTATTATGAACTATTACTTCGTTTGTTTCTGTACAGGTACCTTTAGGATATGTAACTTCAGGAACAAAATAAATTTCAGATTTGAAATTAGTTTTAATTTTGAAACATTGCCGCTAGGCAGGAGAATTTCTTACTAACAGCGGTTATAAATGCTTCAGCTGCGTTCTTCGGCTGGAATTATATGGTATCCTCTTAGATGTCCAAAAAACAATTGTGAAATGTCATTTTAGGAAATATATTAATAGTTTACACTTTTGGTTAAGCGTAAATTGATCAGACTATGACTTTCTTGATCAACTTTATAATAGAACTTTAATTTTTTTAAAAACTTTATTTGAGCTTAACCCTAGAACTTGATTTTTCATTCTTATTACTTTTAGAAATGACATCTATTACACTCTAGAATGAAATAAAAGGCTCTGGAATATTTTAATGTGTTTTCTTTATCTAATTAATCTCTTGGTTTAGTCAAGCTGTGACTTACAAAAATCTTTCAAATCTGAACAAAAATAATATCTAACAAGGTTTTTTGTATCATTATTTATCTCTTAGGAGCAAGCAATTTTTTCAAGTGAAGTAATTAAAAAAGAAGTACCCACTATTCTTTAAATCATTTGGTATCAAGTCCCATGAATCTCTGAAATAATATAAATCCCAAGAATCAGAAAGCTAAGACTATCAATAGCAAAAGTCTATATAATATGAATATCATTGTTGGGGACACACTGAAAAACAGCAACTTTGATGTTAAATTATAACACTATCATTGTCAAATAATACGAAGAGAAAGTACAATACCCTGAGAGTAATCATCTTATCAGCAATAATCTTATAATTGCAAAAGAATCTTATAATCACTGTCACTATCACTCTGTTATTAGCGAATACTATGAATTCAAAAGTAGTTGAACTTCATTCACCCCCTTTTCTATTTAAACAATATTATTTATTCTGAATAAATCTAATAATCATAATTGAATATAATGCACACAACATAACTGAACGAATCACACGAAATCTAAAAAAGGAAATCTTTAAAGGCCAATGTTCCAAAAGTGGAGCGGTTTTATTCATACACATATTTTAACTTTAAAATTTTTAAATAAAATTTTTAATATTTACCTTCCAGATGGTTATGTTATCTTTTTAAAAGCTCTTAATTATTGTAGCCGTCTCAGGAGAATTGAATTTTCGGTAAATTGTATTACAATCGAGAGAAAAATTAACAATTTATATCAAATTTCAAAAATTCATAAAAAATAAACAATTATGAAAACGAAATCAAGCTAAAAGCAAATAATTCTTAATAATGTAAATCTTAAATTTACGGTTAAGAATTTAACTTTAATTTATAAAATTAAACCTAACCATGTAAATTTTAAATTTATGTAAACAAATCTGCATTATTCAGACTTTAATTGCTCGTTAAATTCCATTCTCGTTCATTGGAACAATGGAAGGTTTAAGGTTTTAAGTCAACAATAATTTTCTTTCTGAATTGCTCAAAATTTGATAACTACATTTGCAAAACATGACGTTATTATACATCTGAGTGTTGGAAAAATGTGTTTTGAGAAAATTTTAATTTCTAAGTTTTTAAAAAATCAGTAATAACTTACGTATTTCAGTGAAGCAAGTAGAGCAACATCCGCAAGAAGAGTTATGTTACTTCACTATTTGCTCATCTTCACAATCTAGCTCTTCGTATTGAACATTATCACAATAATTCGGAGTACAGACAAGTCGAGCACTTGCTATGGAAATCACAGCTAGCAGCAGAATAATTACTTTCAGAATTTTTCTAATCGAAGACAACATTGTACAGTTTTAAAATAGGAAGTTGTATTAAACAAAGGAATATAATTTTCCTCATTGCTAAATATTTTGTAAAATACTTATTGTTTTATAAACACAGTATCTTTCCTGGGTTTTGAGGTATTTTACAGCTAATTCTCACAATTTTTAAAAATAAAAATTATGTATAAAAGACATATATATCAAATTATTAAGAAACTACCGAGACAAGTACCTTTGCGATCTTTGGTTAAAAATGTAATAAATACCGTCAACCGGAGCTGTACTACATTTTGGTCATTGGGGGGATTATTTTGATTTAATACAAAAAAGAGTTTAATTTCGAAATAAACCGAACAAACAAAAAATACACACGAGCATTTTTAGGTTTTATATTTTAATTATTTTGGGTAATTTAAAAATTCTGCCATTGAATACACTGGAGTTCTTTTAAACAATTGTTTTGATGAGTAAGTTACATACCTCCAAACTTTCTATTGTTGACTAATCCATAACGTGTTAAAAATAAGGTAAGTTCCAAAATATTAGCTTTTGTAATCAGGATGCAATGAGACATAATAATTGTTTTGTTTTGAATGTACATTTTATAGTTTACGTTAAAATTACTTTTAATAGCACAAATAACTTGAAGCCCAACAGAGAGGATACTCTTATTGAATGTTCTAAATTAAAAAAAAAAAAAGACAACTTTCTTAGGCTAATGAAACGGGGATACTCAAATATTCTTGAGATGGATGATTTGAGTATTAGAATAAAAAGTTTAACTTTCGTGCAAATTTGTAATGTTATTTCGTTAGCAGATTCTATTATGCAAGGTGTAACAATAGTCTAACAAAGGATTTGTAATCAGAATAAGTAAGTTGTTGTTGTTTTTAATGCCACTTACCAATATCAGCAAGCCTGCTTGGAGAAACCAAGTGAATTTAAGGCAAATGATAAATTTCTTGTTTTTCAGTGGCGCCATCTGTGGCAAAGAATATGAGTTCATCCGCACATCCCTCTCAAGCAGTTCATAGGGTGCACCCATACTTACATCCATTCATTCATTCACAGATCGTAATTTTGAATTTAATAAATCTCCAATTCAGTACCCCCTCCCCCCCAGAGATGTGATTTGTCATGGGAAAATGGTCGTGACCTCGACTGATTTAGCGTGCACCAGTCACCATTTACTACAAGGGAAGTCTTCGGCCGGCAGAGATTGAACCCACGACTTCTTGGACGTGAGCCCAACATCCTACCAACCAGACTGTCTCGGCCTATGTAAGCAATTGATCCAAAGAAACACTGAAAGTACGTCAAGGGGTGGTTAATAAATAATGCGCACAATGAATCAGCTACTCAGCCTAGGGGTTACTTTGGTTCAAAATTCTGAAAATAGTGTAAAGTGAATATAGAAAAGAATTATTTTTTAAGAATAAATACAGTTAATTTTCTTACACTTAATAAATAGGTTAAAATAAAATTTGGCAGTAGACAATACATTAATTAAACTTTGTAATGTATGATAATTTTTTAAATTCTTTTCTGTTTATAATGAATATGTGCGTGAAATTACGAGAAAGTGTGGCTCTAGGTACGATATGGTAGGAAAAATAATTCCTTCAAAAAATATGTCAATATTAAAAAAGTTTATATATTACACTACACTACAATAAGGGAAGAAGCACTTTTAGTTTTTGATATATTTTTTAATTTCTCAAGAAATATTTATAGGATTATTTTGTAACTTTAGAGGCGTTTAGTTCATGCGTTTTTTTATACTCAACAATGAAATTTAAGGCTGTCAGAGGTATGAAAGACCTAGAATAAATTACGAAAGAAAACAAATATTTTTGAACAACCTATGAAAGAAAATAAAGCAAAAAACTTGTAACTTGTATCGATTACTTTAGTTGCTATTTTTAATAATTGCGTAAGTACAAAACTAGAGTTAAAACAATGACAACATCAAAACAAAATCTGAGTAGACAATTAAAATTCAGCAGGTTGAAAGATGATAAAACTTGATAAGAACAAAAAAACAAACAAAAAAAAAAACAGTGAGACATCCGAATAAAATGAGAAATTGGTAAAACCTAAGTGGGCAAGATAAGCAACTTTGATGTTGTCATTGTTTTAACTCTAGTTTTGTACTTTTTAGGCAGTTTTAATTTTGAATTTTAATCAATTTTCTTGTTCTTGGCATTAATTTATTGTTTGATTTTAATTGTTTTTATTTTGACCTTTTGGCTTTTATTATTCTTAAATAATTTTCTAGTTGACTTTAACCATTATGGATTTTACAAGCCCTTTTGATTTTAACTTCTTCTAATTTTACAAGCCATTTTGTCTTTTGATATTACAATTTACTTGATTTTATAGTTCTCTTAGATTTATCTATCTCAACACCTTTTAACTCTTTTTTTTCCCTCTCATCTTTAAAATCATCTATTAAACTTGGTTGTCTTATACTGGTGTTTTATCCCATTGCATGATTTTACTTTTCTATGGTTTATTTGCAATGGTTTAAATTTTGCTGTTGCCTCCAATCCAGCTTTAGTGGTTGTTTATTGTGATAGTAGTGAATCATTGTGTAACTTATTTGCTTGTATCATTGCCTATTGTTGTAGTTTGTTTGTATCATTGCTAATTATGTTGTGAAACTTAATCTTTCTGGAATTGTGAATTATGCCGTATGCCCTATTAAGGGAAGGTCGGTTATTTATATTTATTTTAATAATTGCGTAAAGTTTCTTAAATTTTGAGTATATATTTATGGAAATATGGATATTTTTATGAAAAAGTAATTTTTTTCCCTTAGTTTTTTTGCTATAACTTCATAAATATTCAATGGAATTAATCAAAACTTTTGGAAAAATTGTAGATTAATTGCAAAATTGTTGATTTAAAATTTAAGAAAAATATTTAAAAACTGCGCTAGTCATGAGCATTTAAGCTGGTTCTTTTATACTGCGCATGCACTGAAAAAATTTTAAAAAGTTTTTTCCTAATTTTGCCAATATTAGGCAAATAATAAAATCTTCATTTGAATATCTTGAGAATTTCAAAAGTTTCAAGCAATTTTAAATAGTTTTTGTAGTTTTTAAAGGAAAACTCAAAATAATAAGGGATTATCCTCAAATTTTATCTTGTACCATTAAACAAGATTTACTACAAATGAGACCGGCATTGTAGTGGATCACCCCTATAAAAGTATGTGTTCTTTTGCAAGTTCTTTTTCTGCAAATTATTAAAGTTTAGTTTCCGGACGATTTTTGTAAGGTATTATTCTTTGTTATTAAATTTTGTACAATGATACAAAAATAAAATTTGTGTAAAACCCTTGATCGTTTTGAGCTTTCTCTTGAACTTCTTAGAAAATTGAAATTGATTTTCTGACATAGAGTGTTCAAAAATACTGGTTTTTTGGTATTTTATTATAGGTCTTTCAAACCTCTGGAAGCTTTAAGCCTTGTTGCTAAGTATGAAAAATCGCATGAACTAACCATCTCTAAATTTTAAAAATATTCCATTTAGGATTTCTTGAGAAATGTAAAAGGTATTCCGAAAAAAGAAAGTGTCTCTACCATTATTATTATTTTTCTTTTAAACGTCAGGCTCTTAACTTATCGTTCTTCGCTATGAAAGGTGTTGGAAGTGCTACTTATTTTGGGTTGCCTAGTGAGCACCTTGGTACCAGACCAATATTACCCGCAGTCATTGGCTTCGCAGTTAGGGACGCTAACCACTGGGCCTTCTTTCTGGCTATTGTAGGGTAGTGTATATATTCCTATCCTGTTGCAATTACACTTCATGAGTATTTTAAAATGTCGAAAGTGTTGAAGTGATTCCTCTTTTGCTTCTTTGCTTTCATTTCATCAGCAAAACTTTATTTTAACCATTTTAATTAAACTAGATTTTGGGAAATGAGAAAAACTTTGATTAAAAAATCAAATATTTTAATTGAACAATTTAATGTAATGTTTTCCAAGAATGGTACAAGTCTTAGTTTGTCCTGATAAATTTGCAAATGTCTTGATCCATCTGCCATGTTGGCATTAAACTCTTTCATTAAATTTTTAAACTACTACTATCCATAAATTGATAAATTGATACAAATCTATCATGATTTTATTAGTGAAAGAACCAAATGAATAGTTATAACATTTCGTACTTTTACGTATGAGTTTTAATTTTACTAGACTGATCCGGAATTTAAACTTGACTATTGCAAATGAAAAGACAAAACTACCATAAATCGATCCCAGTATTAGCAACAAACAGCAAAACAAATTACAAAAGATGTTAAAGTATTGGCTTTTTGAATTTAAATTTTTCAATATTGAACATAAGAGATTGCAATAAATAATACGGCGCATATATGTTTTTTTAGGTTTAAAATATTTTTAAACATGTTTTACTTGTACAACGTTATCGATAACTTTTGTTAACATAACGCTTTGCAGTCAGGAACGTTTACGACTTGACTAGCTTATGGTAGTATTTCTAAAATTCCTTCAAAAGACATGGATGATAACGTTCCTAAAGTGTGCCAATATCTATGAAATTATATCATAATTTTATGAATCTTAGCACTGCCTCTTTTCCTGACATCTGGTTATTCGAAATGATTAAATTAAACTATTATACTAAATTAGAAATTTATAACCACATTGATATTTTAGTTAATAAAAATTTTAATTGATAAAATACCAAAATAAACGTAAAAAATCTGAAGTGTGTGTTTCATTGTAACTAAATTTGTTTTCAGCAAATAAGAAAAAATAATAACATATTTTTATTATTTGGCTTTGAAACCTGTGCATTTAACAGGAGGATAGAAGGCAACAGTAAACAAAGCATAAATATTTTCTTACAAATGATACAATAATTATTTTAATGCTTTATTAATCTAGACATTCTTAATTTAAAACAAGTGATAGAACTGAGCTAATTGTTTTAAAAAAATTATAAATGAATTTTTTGAAGGTAGTTATTATTTAGGA